TTTTTTTTTTAAATATGATTCACTATCTAATATGCTGTATATTGTACTCATTTGTTTTGTTTTGTCTCTATCGAGAAAAGTAAGTTGCATGGGGCAAGGAATTTCTGTCCGTTTCATTCCCTGGTGTACCTCCAGTGCCTTTAACAGTGCCTATCACCTAGTAGACACTGAATAGCTTTTTGTTAAATGAACATATCAGCACTAGAAATGGTTCAGATGGCTAGAGCCCAGAGTCAAAAATAAAAGAGAGGTTGCCTGCTAGTGTAAATGTATTTAATACTATTGAGTCAGACAAGAATGGTTCAAATGTTAACTTTTATGTCATGTTACTTATATTTTACTACAATAAAAATGAAGGGGCACCTGGGTGGCTCAATCAGTTGAGCATGCACCTTCGGCTCAGGCCATGATCTCGCGGTCCATGAGTTCAAGCCCCGCATTGGGCTCTGTGCTGACAGCTTGGAGCCTGCTTGGGATCCTGTGTCTCCCCCTCTCTCTGCCCCTCCTCCGCTCATGCTATGTCTCTGTCTCTCTGTCAAAAATAAATAAACATTAAAAAAAAATTAAAAAGTAAAGAGGAGATGGGATTTTGGAAAGGTGTTCAGGAGCAAGTTCAAGAAGGTCCTTACAAGCTATCTTCTAGAGATAGGACTTTATCTCCAGAGTTGGTTTTAAGCAGGGGATTATTTAGATCAGTCTTTCAATTCAGAAACCAGCCCCGGCTGTGGTATGTAGAAGAGTATGGCAGATTCATGGGAAGACCCCTCCACACGATAATGGCAGAATACACATTCTTCTCAAGTGCACGTATCATATTCTCAACGTTTATTTATTTTTGGGACAGAGAGAGACAGAGCATGAACGGGGGAGGGGCAGAGAGAGAGGGAGACACAGAATTGGAAACAGGCTCCAGGCTCTGAGCCATCAGCCCAGAGCCTGATGCGGGGCTCGAACCCACGGGCCGCGAGATCGTGACCTGGCTGAAGTCGGACGCTTAACCGACTGCGCCACCCAGGTGCCCCTCATATTCTCCAAGAGAGACCACACGTGAGGTCACAAAAAAGTCTCAGTAAATTTAAAAAGATTGAAGTCACGGAATATCCTCTAACTAAAATGAAATGAAGCTAGAAATCGATACCAACAAGGAATTTGAGAAACTCACAAATAATGTGGAAATGAAACAACACACTTCTAAAAGGGCAGACATTTTGAGATGAGTGAAAATGAAAAGAAAACATAGCAGAACTTAAGGACGCAGCATAAGCAGTTCTCAATGGGAAATGTGCTGTAAATGTCTGTGTTAAAAATGAGGAAAGATCACAAATCGTTAGTTGAATCTTCCTCCTTAAGACACTATAGAAAGAGCAAGCTAAAACTTAAAAAAAAAAAAAAAGGCCGAAGGAAAGAAATAATAAAGATCAGAGTGGAACTAGAAGACAAACAATACAGAGAAACAATTAAACCAGAAGTCGGTTCTTTCAAAAGATCAACAGGATTGGTGACCTATAGCTGGACCAGGACAGAAAGAAGACTCCCATTACGAAAGTCAAGAATGATAGAGGGGTCATTTCTACAAAACTTATGGAAATAAAAAAGAGTATAAGGGAATACTATCAACAATTGTAGGCCAATGTAGATGACATAGATGAAATGGAAGATTCCTAGAAACATAAACTACCAAAACTGACTCAAGAATAAACAGAAGATATGAGTACACCTATAATAAATAAAGAGATCAAATTAGTAATTTAAAAAGTTCCCACAAAGCCCAGGACCAGATGTTTCCACTGATGCATTCTACCAAACATTTAAAGAAAAATTATGGGGTGCCTGGGTGGCTCAGTTAAGTGGCCAACTTTAGCTCAGGTCATGATCTCGCGGTCTGTGAGTTCGAACCCCGCATCGGGCTCTGTGCTGACAGCTGGGAGCCTGGAGCCTGCTTAGGATTCTGTGTCTCCCTCTCTCTCTGCCCCTCCCCCACTCACACTCTGTCTCTGTCTCTCAAAAAATGAATAAACATTAAAAAAATAAAGAAAATGTCAATACTTCAGAAACTCTTCAAAATAGAAAAGGAGGGAACACTTCCCTAGATGAGGCTAGGATTACCCTGATACCAAAGATACTACAAGAAAAAACAAGAAACTACAGAACAATACATTATATGAATACAGGTAAAAAAAGATCTTTAACAAAATAGTAGCAAAACACATACAAAACATTGTATACCATGTTCATTTGATTTTTTTTTTAATGTTTATATTTAGTTTTGAGACAGAGAGAGACAGAGCGTGAGTGCGGGAGGGGCAGAGAGAGAGGGAGACACAGAATCAGAAGCAGGCTCCAGGTTCTGAATTGTCAGCACAGAGCCTCATGTGGAGCTTGAACTTGTCAGCCGCGATATCATGACCTGAGCCTGAGTCGGAATCTCAACCAATTGAGCCACCCAGGCACCCCTATGGTCATTTGATTTTTGATAAAGCTGCCAAGACCACTCAAAGAGAAAAGAATAGTTTTTTCAACAAACAGTGCTTTAACAACTGGATATCCACTTGCAAAAGAATGAATTTGGGGGGCGCCTGGGTGGCTCAGTCGGTTAAGCTTCTGACTTCGGCTCAGGTCATGGTCTCACGGTTCATGAGTTTGAGCCCCACATCAGGCTCTGTGCTGATGGCTCAGAGCCTGGAGCCTGCTTCAGATTCTGTGTCTCCCTGTCTCTCTGCCCCTCCCCCTGCTCACACTCTGTCCAAACATTAAAAAAATTTTTTTTAAAGAATGAATTTGGGCCCCTACTTCCCTCACATTATATACAAAGATGAACTCAAAATGGATCATAGACCTACAGATGTAAGAACTGAAACTACAAAACTCTTAGTAGAAAACATAGATGGAAATCCCTGTTGCCTCAGATTAGGCAAAGGTCTCATGGATATAACGACAAAAGCACAGGTAACCAAAGGAAAAATAGAGAAACTAGACTTGATCAAAATTTAAAATGTTTGTGTTTCAAAGAACACCAACGAAGGAAGTGAAAAGACAACCTATAGTATAGGAGAAAATATTTGCAAATCATATATAAAGGCATATCATATACTATGATAAAGGCATAGTATCTAGAATATAAAAAAAAGAACCCCTACAATTTAACAATAAAAAGATAACCCAGGGATGCCTTGGTAGCTCAGTCTGTTGAGCGTCCAACTCTTGATATTGTCTCAGGTCATGATCCCCGGGTCGTGGGATTGAGCCCTGCGTTGGGCTCAGCGCTGTGCCTGGAGTCTGCTTAAGATTCTCTCTCTCTCTCTCTCTCTCTCTCTCCCTCCCTCCTCGGCTCTCTCTCTCTCTCTCATAATCATAATCATAAAAGGTAACACAATTTGGGGATACCTGGCTGGCTCAGGCACTGGAGCACGCAGCGCTTGATCTCTGGGTTCTGCGAGCCCCAGTTGGGTGTACAGATTACTTAAAAAAAATAAATAAATAAAACGGGCTAAGGATTTGAATAGACATTTCTCCAAAGAATATATTCAAATGGTCAGTTAGCACATGAAAATATGCTCAACATCGCCAATCATTAAGGAAATGGGGGGGGGGGGAGCACGGAAGGTGCCACTTCACGCCCACTCGGAAGACTAAAATTAAAAGTGCACGGAGGCAGTGAGGTTGTGGGGAAGTTGGGATGTCACGATGCACACAGGGCTGGCGGGCATGTCAAACGGGGCAGCTGCTGTGCAAACTGTCAGTTCTTCGAAATGCTAAGTATCGTTTCTGCATCAGCCAGCAATGCCACTCCTGGTATATACTCCGACGTCCATACCTAACAGAAATGAAAACAGCGCTGTCACTCTGAGACACGCTCGCGTCTGTCTCCAAGACTCTGAACCGCGACGCCCATCGCAGTAAGTCGGTCCCGCGCAGAAGCGGAGGCCTCGCACGCCGGCCGGGACGCTTTTCGCCCGGTCGGCTTCCCACGCTGCCATCAAGCGCTCACTGTCGCAAAAGATCCGTCCCTGCGCGACTCTTTCCCCTTCCGCCGTCAACCGTGACTTCGCTGCGCCCGCAGACGGCTTTACAGCACAACTGGAGAGAGTGACAGAGCGCTTTACGACAGTCGCTTTGTGGCAGTGGCTGAGGAGGAAGATGGCGGCCACCTTAGTATCCGCTGGAGGAGCGGGGTCTGTCCCAGCCTGGGGTCCCGAGGCTATTGCCCCCGACTGGGAAAGCCGGGAAGTCTCCACAGGGGTGAGGAGGCACCCGGGGTTCGGGAGATGCGCACGAGGCTTGATGCGATGGAACGATGAGGGCTGAGGGGGCTCGGCGAACTGGCGGCGGGGGCGGGAGGTGGTGTGCTCTGTTCTGGCAGGAAAGAGGTATCCTGAAGATGCTGGAGAGCGGTGGGAGGTGGAGGGGAGGCTGAAGAGTGGAACGCTGGCATTTTGCGGCACGGGGGGGGGGGGGGTTAAGGCCGGGATGGGCCTCTGAGGATTTCAGGATTGGGATTCTGCTACTCCGCGGCGTGTCGGGGCCCCCACGAGATTTTTGATAACGGGTCGGTGGCGCACGACTTTCGGACTCCAGGGACCGCACTGAGAGATCATTGAAAGTTTGTGTGTGCTGGATAATGGGAAGCGGCCCAGATTCACCCCTTTTCTCGTTTCTCGCAGACCACTATCATGGCCGTGCAATTTGAAGGGGGCGTGGTTCTCGGAGCCGACTCCAGAACTACCACTGGGTGAGCTCAGGACACCTGCGTGGCAGGTCATCCCCTCTCTCCCTTCTTTCCTTGCCTGACAGTGCGTCCTTACCCTCCACAGTCCACCGTGGGAAGGGAGGTTTCTTCCCTTCTTGGAGATAAGGATCTGTTCCAGCTCCCACTCCTTCCCAGTTTCCCTCCTCCCCCCCGGCTGAAATGTTTGCAAAAGTCTGGTCTCCAGCTAGCTTCCGTTTGGGTGAGAACTGATAGGAAATGCCGGAATGCCTGTTCTGAGCCCTTGGAGTGGGTAGTAATGGGATGGAGGTGGGAGGCCAGCGGGATCGCCCCCTCACTGTTCTGCCATCCTGCAGGTCCTACATTGCCAATCGAGTGACTGACAAGCTGACCCCTATTCATGACCGTATCTTCTGCTGCCGCTCAGGCTCAGCAGCAGATACCCAGGCAGTAGCTGATGCTGTCACGTATCAGCTCGGTTTCCACAGGTACCTGTGGGCAGGGGAGGAGCAAGTATCTGAAGGGAGTTGGGACCTGGGATGCTAAATGGTCTAACTCCCAGATCCCGACACTGCCTCTCCTGTCACTCTCCTCCCCCTCTAGCATCGAGCTAAATGAGCCTCCGCTGGTGCACACAGCCGCCAGCCTCTTTAAGGAGATGTGTTACCGATACCGGGAAGACTTGATGGCAGGAATCATCATTGCGGGCTGGGACCCCCAAGAAGGAGGGCAGGTGAGACACCCCCACCCCCCCATCAGAGCCCTGGAGCCATGCCTTTGGTCCTGTCCCCACCGCAGCCATTTTCTGTTTGTCTTCCCAGTCTCTACCTCCCTTACTGTCAACTCATCTCAGACCACCCGCGTGGGCGGGTGTATGTACGTGTGTGGCATAGGGTACAACTGGTGACTTTTCTTCTCCTTCCGTCTGGCAGGTGTACTCGGTGCCCATGGGGGGCATGATGGTAAGACAGTCCTTTGCCATCGGGGGCTCTGGGAGCTCCTATATCTATGGCTATGTCGACGCTACCTACCGGGAAGGCATGACCAAGGAAGAGTGTCTACAATTCACGGCCAATGGTGAGAACTTGGGTTTCTGGGCCTGTGAACATCAACCCTCTTATCCAAGCCAGGCCAGCACTCCCCATTCCTTGTAGTGATCCCAGCACCTGACCCTGACCCCAGCTTTCTTCGTTTGTTCACAGCCCTCGCTTTGGCCATGGAACGGGACGGCTCCAGCGGAGGTGTGATCCGCCTGGCGGCCATCGAGGAGTCAGGGGTGGAGCGGCGGGTACTTTTGGGGGACCAGATTCCCAAATTCACCATCGCCACGTTACCGCCTCCCTGATTCCTAGAATTCTAGGATACAATAAGAGACACCCCATAGCGACATAAAATTCAATAAACACTTTGTCAAAAAGAATCTGCTTTGAGGTTCCTTTCCTGGCCTCAGGCCTGAACTTGTTCGGCCTACGCCCGCCTGTACGGACCACTGCTCTGAGCTGGGGGGGGAGTTGGAGACAAACCTTGGCGAGAGTGGTTTTCAAACCTCTTTCTCCAGACCATCCCCCCACACTTCCTTTCCCCCACCACACCCAGGTCCTTGGGGCACCAAGGTGTGGTTGAAACGGAGGCTCCCACCTGATGACCAGCCCCTTCCCTGTTCAGGCGCAGGGTGGGATTCAGAATCCTGACTGTCCCTGGGGTTACCTCCCCTCAGCCTGCCTCCGGCTCAGGCTCATGGTCCCCTCTTTCCACACCCGTCTCTGTCACCTCATCTTGCCAGGAGCAGTACTGTGGCTACGGTGGCTTTGGGGAGAAAGGTGGGCCTTGTTTGCAGATGGAGTTTAAGACGGATGTCGGGTGGGTGGGAGAGGACGGCCCCTGGAAGTCCTGTGGGCCCGCTGTGAAGCCCACGGAGGTGTGATGGTAAATCAGTCTTTAGCTGCCTGGATGGGAGGCTGAGAGTAGACTCTGGCCCCCCGAGTCTGTGCCCACTCGGGCCAGGGGCCGAAAGGAGTTCAAGGGTGCTTGTTAGCAGTGCCCGGCTTTCTCAGCCTTGCCTCAGCTTTCCTCCACTCTGTGGATAAGGGAACTGAATACCACATTCGAAAACTTTGGTCTAGAATATGATCCTGCCCTGGAGACTCTGGGAGGTTACACGGGAGGCTTCCTGAGGAGGTGGGTAGGTCCGGGATTAAGTGGAAAAGAGCAGAGAAGGCCCTCTGATCCCAAATATATGTACCTCAAACTTAAAATAACCCATAGACGACTTTTGATTTTGTTTGCAAAACCTGTTTACCCGGTCCTCCTTCCTCAAGGCGTCTTGGATTCCTCTCATCCCCTTACACTCTGCATTGAGCCTGAACACTCCCCACCCACTTCCTGTCCCTGGCACGTTGCTCTTCCATAAGCAATGTTACCTGAGTTTCAGGGGCACAACATAGCGATTCGACAACTCTGTGTGTTTGCTATGCTCACTCCACAGCCCTGTCTTGATCCAAGCCACCATTGTGCCTTGTCTGCCAGATGGCAACAGCCCCCTCCGTGGCCCTGCTGCTTCCACACTCTCCTTCTATAATCTCCCATAGAGCAACCAGAGTGATTTTTTTTTAATGTTTTATTTTATTATTTTTTTTTAAGTTTATTTGTTTTCAGAGAGAGAGGCAGTGTGCGAGGAAGGAAGGGGCAGAGCGAGAGGGAGAGAGAGAATCCCAAGCAGACTCCACAGTCGGCACAGAGCCTGATGCAGGGCTCAAACCCACGAACTGTGAGATCGTGACCTGAGCCGAAATCAAGAGTCGGATGTTCAACCAACTGAGCCACGAGGGGCCCCAACTGGAGTGATCTTTAAATGTAAGTGAGAACACGTTCCCTGCTTG